TAGTAGAGACGGGGTTTCACCGTGTTGACCAGGATGGTCTCGATCTCTTGACCTTGTGATCCACCCGCCTCGGCCTCCCAAAGTGCTGGGATTACAGGCTTGAGCCACCGCGCCCGGCAGTAGGCTATTAATTGCTGCCTCAATTTCAGACCTTGTTATTGTTCTATTCAGGAATTTAACTTCTTCCTGGTTTAGTCTTGGGGGGTGTATGTGTCCAGGAATTTATCCGTATCATCTGATTTACTGGTTTATTTGCAAGAGGTGTTTGTAGTAATCTCTGAGTGTAGTTTGTATTTCTGCGGGATCAGTGGGGATATCCCCTTTATCATTTTTTATTGCATCTATTCTTCTCTCTTTTCTGTTAATCTGGCTAGTGGTCTATTTTGCTGATCTTTTCAAAAAACCATCTCCTGGATTCATTGATTTTTTTGAAGGGTTCTTTGTGTCGCTATCTCCTTCAGTTCTGCTCTGAACTTAGTTATTTATTGTCTTCTGCTAGCTTTGGAATTTGTTTGATCTTGCTCTCTAGTTCTTTTAATTGTGACAATAGGGTGATGATTTTAGATCTTTCCTTTCTCCTCATATGGGCATTTAGTGATGTAAATTTCCCTGTAGACTCTACTTTAAATGTATCCCAGAGATCCTGGTACATGTGTCTTTGTTCTTACTAGTTTCAAAGAACATCTTTATTTCTGCCTTCATTTCATTATTTATCCAGTAGTCATTCAGATGCAAGTTGTTCATTTTCCATGTAGTTGTGTGGTTTTGAGTGAGTTTCTTAATCCTGAGTTCTAATTTCATTGCACTGTGGTCTGAGAGACTAATTGTTATGATATCTGTTCTTTTTTTAAAATTGCATTTTAGGTTTTGGGGTACGTGTGAAGAACATGTAAGATTGTTGCATAGGTACACAAATAGCAGTGTGATTTGCTGCCTTCCTCCCCATCACCTATATCTATCATTTCTCCCCATGTTATCCCTCCCCAACTCCCCACCCCCTGCTGTCTCTCCCCTGTGTCCCCCCCACAGACCCCAGTATGTGATGCTCCTCTCCCTATGTCCATGTGTTCTCATTGTTCAACATCTGCCTATGAGTGAGAACATGCGATGTTTGATAGTCTGTTTTTGTATCAGTTTGCTGAGAATGATGGTTTCCAGGTTCATCCATGTCCCTACAAAGGACACAAACTCATCGTTTTTGATGGCTGCATAATATTCC